TATTTTTTCATTCATAATTGGAGCCTGAGAGCCCCTCCCCCTTCGCTACGTAATTAAAGAGACAGTTGAGTGCATGAAGTGTTCAGCATTGTACACTTTGTTTTTTCATTAATTTAAGTGCATCATCCTGTTTATTTAAAGTGCACTTGTTCTTTTTGGAATTTTTAGTGTGAACACACTGCTTGTACTATTTATACTACAAAACGTCATAGAATAGTGCACAAGTATTCAATTTTCAACAATTTAATCATTAGCTGCCTTTCCACCGAAATTACCTGGAACAATTTGTCCCAGGAACTTTTTTCCCCCAGACCTGTTGCTGTCTGCGTTTCCGTCGCAGTCTAAAGTGCCGAGAAGAATAGGCAAATAGTCTGGTGACGTAGGTCTGTGCGCATTTCTCAATACTAAGTACACAAATTTCAGACTTGCATCCTCGGTAGGGACTTCGGTTCGGACTTCGTGAGTTCGACTCGGGAGTGTGAACTCCCGTGGACGGGACGACGCAAGTCCGGTAATTCTGCAAAGAGCAGCGTACTTGATAACGTCAGTCAGCTCACCTTGGCTACTGCAATTTTCCTCACTGTATTTACAATAAGATGAAATATGATATCAAACACCACTGCCTCTTTTCGGTTTCTTTTAAACATATTAATAGCCGCAGAAATGTAGTTCAGGGAACGTACGTACATTACAATGAAACAAAATATTATATCAAACAGTATCTTTTAATTTTCATTTAAAATATTAATAAATTATTAGAATAATAGAATAAAGACCAAAGATTACCTGTTAGATTTACCCCAAACGAATTACATTTGATGTTTAACCACTACAGAGACATCAAAGCGAGCGGCAAATGTTAGAAGGACTAGCCGAGGTGAGGCTGCTCTCGTCGAGAAACATGAGCAGCGCCCGGTGATCGCCTGGAGCTCACGTCTCCGAAATCAGCAAAGCACATTTTCAAATAGGCGCTGTCTTTATAAATGAACCGCAGATTTGAGTTTCAAACAACTACGTTCTCGCCTGAAATACTTAGAAAACTACATTTCATGACACAATAACAGTAATATTTAAAAAAATTATGCGAATATGGTGGTTGAAATACAATGTTACAATGCTGTGTGAACTCAACCAATCAGCATCTTCAGCGCCCAAGTCCCACTTCCGAAAGTTCCGGACCTTTGAAAAAGTACTACCTCGCGAGCAGGGACTTTCTGAGGGGCAAATTTTTACCCGTAACTTTATTTAGATCCTGGTTCCTGCGGTGGAAACACACCAAGTACCGGCCCAAAGTCCCTAGTTCCTGCGGTGGAAACAGGGCTATTCTAAAACATGCTAAATCATGTTAGCAACATCCTAAAACATGGTAATCATGTTAGACACATGCTAGCAACATGCTAGTCATGTTAACATGCTAAAACATGTTTCCATTCCAAAAATGGCGGATGGCTTGCGTATCGCGGCCCATAGAAACTGTTGCTAATGAGGCATATATATATTTATTGTTAAATCATGCTAACAACATCGAAAAAAAATGTTAGCAATGTGCTAAATTATGATAGCAACATGTTAAAACAGACTGACAAGATGTTAAATAATGCTAAAACATGCTGACAATATGCTATATCATGTTAGAAACATACTAGCAACATGCTAATTGTTCTAATCATGTTAGCAACATGCTAATAAATGCTAGCAACATTAATAACAATATTAACAGCATTCTAATTGCGCTTGTAACATTTAATCATGGTAGCAACATGCAAAAACATATTAGCAATGTGCTAGCAACAATGTAATCATGCTAAAAACATGCTAGCAACATGCTAATCATGGTAAAACATGTTAGCAACATGTTAAATCATGATAGCAACATGCTATCAACATCTATGTTAGGGTGACCATACGTGCCATTTTCCCAGGACGCGTATGGCACGTATGGTCACCCTAATCTATGTAATCTATCTATCTAAACTTTCAAACTTGAAGCTTAAGTTTGTTCACAAACTTTACTCATCTAGTTACTTCATATTGTTTTTGCAATTCCTTTGGTTCCACTGATTGCTCAGAAATTAAATGCATTATCTCACCATTATTTTTTTAATGTTGTTATAGGAACTCTACTGCTGTGTGCATTTACTCGTTGGCAGAGCTTGATGATGTTTTTGAGCATTCCTCCTTCAAAGGTTATTCTGAGGCCATTCCCACCCCAAGACCAGGAACTGTGAGCAAAAACATACACAGAATTTTCCAAATAAACATCGTTTTATTAAACTTTTCAGTTTGTTTGTGTAGAAAAAAAATCATATCACTGTTCTCTTTGTTTGGCCTCTTTTTGTTTTATACTACTCTCCATTACAACACTTACTGGCTGACCACTGTAGTAAAATAATGTGTACGGAAGTTTTTCCACGTGGCACAGCTACAGAACAGCATACGCTGTTTGCGTTCAGTGGATACTCTCCAAAATGGTGCCAGGGTGACGCGGAGGAGACGAATTGTTATTTTTGTTTTCTTTGCGTACAAAAAGTAATCTTGTAGCTTTGTAAAATTACGGTTGAACCCCTGATGTCACATGAATTATTTTATGTTGATCGTGTTACCTACATTGCTGTCTATGGGTGGGTCAGAGAGCTGTCAGAATAATAATAATAATTCCTTACATTTATATAGTGCTTTTCTGGGCACTCAAAGCGCTTTACATAGAAGGGGGAATCTCCTCAACCACCACCAGTGTGCAGCATCCACTTGGATGATGCGACGGCAGCCATATTGCGCCAGAACACCCACCACACACCAGCTTATTGGTGGAGAGGAGACAGAATGATGAAGCCAATCAGCAGATATGGGGATGGTTAGGAGACCATGATGGTCAGAGGCCAATGGGCGAATTTGGCCAGGATGCCGGGGTTAAACCCCTACTCTTTTTCGAAAGACATCCTGGGATATTTAATGACCGCAGAGAGTCAGGACCTCGGTTTAACGTCTCATCCGAAAAACGTTGCATCGAAAATAACTTAATTTGTGTTCTGAAGATGAACAGAAATCTAACGGGTTTGGAAAGAAATGAGGGTGAGTAGCTAGTGTAGTAGCTAGAGTACTAAAATTCTGACAGAATTTTCATGTTTGGGTGAACTAACCCTTTAATAGAGAAATGTGCGCTATTGAAGTGTGGAGTGTGGAAGCGGAATAATGGGTGCGCTCACTTGCTCTTAAATTACTCCGTCATTTTTGGTAATACAGAAAGAGTAATACATCTTTCAAATCTGTAAAGACTCTACGGTTATTTGTGTGCACTCACAATAACAACAAAATATTGCGCTTTTGTAAAATAATGAAAGCAAACATGATGCTCTTTCTGCCGTCTCGGTCTCTGTGAACTTGAGCTCGAATTTCCATGTATATCTTTGCCTTACAGACATTAAAAATATATTTATAGACAGTAAAATGTCTACTTCTAAATGAAACAATTCAACAAATATTCTCAGATTATGTAATGCATATGAAACATGCATACAGGCGCATCACTACTGCGGAGATGACGAGTCAGTGTCTCCGACTTCATCTCTTAAACCGAAAACAAAGAAGGCACTAGTTTATCAAAATAGTAAAATGTTAATGCAGTCTCCTTACTGTTTTTCACTGACACATACATAATCATTACATCTGCCGGTGCGTTGTGTGAAGCTTTATGTGTGTGCTTGAGCGCTTATGGCTATGTAGGCAATTAAAGGCTCATTATAATAATTTAAATTGTTTATTAATAAATGTGCGAATTGACTAATGCTTAAAATTATGCTGATGATCAGCTGGTCTTTTATCCTTAGTCGAGGGCAGCCCTTCTGGGATCGTCATATATTTGTGTTAAAATGTAAAAAAGTAACATCTGATTCAGCTGAAGCCTATTCAATTCAATATTGCATTCAGTACACATTTTTTCAGGGCTTTATATTTGAATATGGTTTATGCCAAACAACTTCCTCAATCATTTTACTCTTGACCCAAAGATGAATTGCTCAGGCCTATTATTATAGCCATTGTTGGTGAACCAAGGCTATTGTTTCCTCACAATAGCTATTTTAAATCTCTTATAGTTGAGGAAATGAGCAGTTATTTTTCCATGGCCTTGATAACAGTGGGATGGTTGTAACCTCACTTGTATTGTGTTGTAACTTGTGACCTCAAACGATACTGACTGAAATTATATTATAACAGATATATCTCCCTCTTTTCCAGTGTGTCAAACAAAGCAATTCCATTCCAATTTCTACACTTCAAATCATTAAAGACCATCCAGAGATGAAGGACTGGATCCAACCCATTCAAAAAGAAATGCCTTTCTTCACAAGTAATAAGAACTTCACCAAGATAGCCATTGACCGAGTCCAAGCTTCAGATGACAGCATGCACAATGTGCTGCTGCTTGCAACAGGTATACTTGCATGTGATGTAATGGTTCAAATGTCTACATATTGATGTTTGCTGACTTCCTTCATACCAGAGACAATAACAATACTCCTGATAAAAGTTTGGGAAGGGAACAATGGCCGAAAACAAAAGAGTGAAATCAGACCTTATAACATTAGTTACATTAGTTTTACATTCATTTTCAAAACATTAGTTTTGCATTAAAAAAATAAGAAAATATATAGTTAATTTTTAATAATTTCCCCAATTTTCTTCTGACCCTTAAAATTCAACTACAAGCTGCTGAATTGCTGCTGTTTCAGCAACATATGCTGAAACGTTTATGAACTTTTATAACAATGTGATCCGTCAGAAGGATATGCAGGACAGTAGGTGCTACACACAACCAGAAACCAGTCTTTTTGGACTCCGGAGGAAGTTTTAAGTTCTGAAACTAGCTGAAACCTCATACTTTCAGAGAATAATGAATAATTTTATTAAAAAGATCAAGGTGAATTTGTTTTCTAATGATATGATCACTTTAGAGTGAGATATACTATAGGCTTTATGTTACTATAGGCTGGAATACACTACATGACTTTAAAATTCTGAACAGATTTCTAAACGCTATGCATCATACACTTACTGATTGGCTCAAAATATCAAACATGTTTGATGGAAACAGTCTAAAGTGCCTATCATACACCATTTGAGTTAATGTTTTCCATTATTTGCACTTAGTATTGTACTGCAAATGCTCTCGTTAGCTCTTTCAGACGCCTTAGTCGTACTCAGCCATTTGATGTCTTGGTTCTTCTTAGACAATGGAGTGATCCTTAAGATACTGGAGGATGGCTCCAAAGCATTCATCATCTCTGAAACGCATCTGTGTAATGGTTCAGCACCCGTACATTCAATGAAACTCGACTCTGAGAAGGTAAACAAGCAGCCTTCTGAATCATTGAACACTTTGACATTTCAGAAAGCACATTCAAACACTGTTGATTTTGTCTGCAGAGGAAGCTGTTTGTAGGATATCCTGGACAGATTTCCATGTTAGACCTGCAGAGATGTGAAGACTACAATGCTTCCTGTGAGGAATGTGTCCTTTCCCGTGATCCATACTGCGCTTGGACTGAACAAGGCTGCACATCACAAACTAGGTTGTGTTTTATGTGTTTTAGTTTATAAATATTATATTACTTTTTACATATTGTGGCTTTAAAATGCTGTCTTTTTGGGTATTGTACACCCTAGCATTTTTTTTAATAGATTTTTTTTGTTTGGACTGTGTTTCAGAGGAGGGATACAAAACATTGCTGATGGACTCACTAAAGTATGTCACCAAAAATCAGGTATAAGATCAGTCATTGCTTTGTGTATAATTTTTTGCTTGATTTTTAAGACAAAACTGTCTCATGTATCTTTAACGAATGTCTTTTAAGGAGAAAGATTCACAAGAGAAGTGAAACAACCATTGACAGATCCATTAAGGATTCAACACTCTGTGCAAACTGGCATTCCCTTCTACCTATCTTGTCCTGTCGATTCCAATCATGCCACTTACAAATGGGAACATAAGCAAAACAGCATCCCATGCCAGCAGACCCAATCAGAATGTCTCCTCCTCATCCCAGCCATGATGCATGACATGTACGGCAATTACAAATGTACATCCCACGAACTCGATTACACCAAAACTGTGAGAGAATACAACCTCTTTTATGACAACTTAAGGTCTGCTTCTAATGGTGCTTTCAAGCTGAGAGCCCAGGACTGGTTAATGGCCGCATTTGTCACTAGTGTCTTCTATCTGCGCTCACTTTAAGGTCAAGGAAGTTATATAAAAGTTGGTGCTTCCATCTTCAAGCTTTTCTGATGACCTGTAAGCTGATTAAAACCATCAGTCACACATTGCCAGGCGCCAGTGGTTGGTCTTATCAAGTGAAGTTTATGGGGAAGTAAACACTGAAGTAAAAGGAAGCTTCCTTCCTAGCAGATAACTCGCAATTATATGCTTACCATTTGTTGAGTGGCTGTTGAAAGTATAAAGTGCGGTCCAAAGTCTGTGACCACAATGAAAATGTAGACTTTCATCTTTAGAAACTGGAAATACTCTTTGACAGTTTTAGGATTTAGAATTGTTTTTACAAACAAAAGCTCGTGAAGTAAAATGAAGACAAAATATGTCAGATGTTGCACTATTTCTAGGTCAAAATAATATGCTTTTTGAAGGGGTGGTTCATTGCGATTTAAATTTTTTTACGTTATTTAGTGTGTAATATTGCTGTTTGAGCATA